CTCCCAACCCTGAGGCCCCACCACCGCTGGGGCTTCCCTCCCCTTCCCAATCCAAGGGTCCTTGTCCAGTTCCCCTTGAGCCAGCACTATGTGCTGACACTTGGGAACACCCAACCCTCCCTTAATCTCTGCTTTGTTGCAGGGTGACAGCGGGGGGCCTCTCATCTGCCAAGACAGCAAAGAGAACTTCTTCTGGGAAGTTGGTCTGACCAGCTGGGCACTGGGTTGTGCCAGACCCAAAAATCCTTCAGTCTTTATCTCCACTCAGTACTTCTACAACTGGATCATGGGAAAAATAGGCCATAGCTCGGGAGCAGCACCTACTCCAGCACCCTGTCCATTCCCACGTAAGAAGCTGCTGCAATTCTTTGATCTGCTGCAGGAGCTCTTGAAGTTCCTAAAGGCAAAACCGGCTTGAGCAGGGGGATGGACATGCTGTAGTGAACCACAACCACTTCCTTCTGGAACAATGCCTCCTGATCCAAAGGCGGCCCTGGTTCCAAAGGCCTGCTCTGTCCTGCCCATGCTCCTCTTCTGCGTGTATGGAAATGCTGACGTTGACCTAACTGTTGCTGAAATAAAGTTGCCTATTTTCACAGTTAACCACTTTTGCAGTGCCACTCAGTCTCCTGTGTCAGGCAAGGCCTGCCTGGGCCGGCACCTGCAAAATGAGGCTGCACAGACAGGCAAAGGGAAAGGGCACAAAAGGGAATACTGGAAAAGGGTCCCTCCAAAGGACTGGAAGCGTGCCTGCTCAGAGAGGCCAAGGGTGCAGTGGAAGAAGGGAACACAGGTTCTAGGGGTTTACAGGTCTTGGGGCCAGCAGCTGGAAATGCACAGTGTCTTAGGCTGCTGACTGGTGGGATGCCTCTGTGTGTGTGTGTGTGTGTGTGTGTGTACGGCACACCAGGGAACTGGAAACTGGACTCTGGATGTCTGGGCAGGAACCTTCCAGCTCCTTGATCTTCCTTTAACTTCATCAAAGGAAAGCTCAGAGAACTGGAACTTGGTCATCAAGGAGAGCAGCTCCTTGATTGTGTGTAACTGAAACGACAGTCCAACACCCAGGGTGTGCTGTACCTCGGGAAAAAGGGGTAAGCTCTTCAGCAGTCAAATGGAAGCAACTAAAGAAGCATCCTTAACCCTGAAGGGGCTTCAGTTCCTTCCCTGTAAGGAAAATGATGTTCAGTTAGAGCAGTTCATAGTTAGGTTGTAAACACCACCAAAAAAAGCTTAGGCCTAGGGACTGCTACATTTGCTTAGTGTTTAGGTCAGCAAGACAAAAATGTTTGCTAGGGATGGCAGGTTAAGAAAAAAACCCGAAACTCCTCCCTCTAAGTTATTATGAGTTTGCAATTAAGAGGCTTCAGGTGAAAAGGTTTGGAAAAGTAAAGTTACAACTCTTTACCAACATATATATATATATATATTAAAACAAAACAAGCAACAATACCATAACCAAAGCTTTCAAAACGAAAATCCTACTTCCATCTCCGTGTAACTGTAAACCACCCCCAGCAACAGCTGCTCGGCTTTTCGGGAGGCGAGGGGTACGGTGGCTCACTGGCGGGCAGCAGGAAGGCATTAGCAGGCTCTGGTGAGGTGGCGACCGCCGTGGCTCTCGCAGGGCCATCCACGGGCTGCTCCCTGAGGCTTCCCAGCTGCTCACGGCCCCGTGAGCCATGGTAGACAGGCGGCAAACTGTGTAGGGGGCTTCCCCCCAGTCCCAGGGCTACGGGCACGGTCTTCAGCAGCAGCTCCGGGCTCCCCAGCTCGGGAAACAGCAGTCCGCAGCGGCGGGCAGTGGGGGCCAGGCAGCCACCGCAGGGAGATGCTCTGATGTGGGGCACCGGCGGGCTGGGGCAGGTACTCGCTCCGAAACGGGCGGCGGTGGGGGCTCTACTAGGGCTTACCCAGTGGTGCGAGCAATGACCGGCAAGATCTGGGGCCGACCCCGACGGCGGTGGCAGGCAGAGAAAGCTCCTTCTCGGGGATTGAACAGGAGAACAAAGAGGTGGCTGCCAGCTCCGTCAGTGACAAGCAGGAAGGCATACAAGGAAAAGGCCCAGATGTGCAGCGCCGGCCGTTTTTAAAAAACCCTCCCCACTCCCGGGCCCTTCTGCGTGCGACACCACTCCTTCCCGCCTCCACCACCCTGCAAACAAAACGGGGGGGAGGGCCCTGTCATTGTTGGTGAGCGCTACCCACTAACTGGTAGTCGGAAAAAAATCCGTCAGCTCTTTTCGAAACTAAAGCAATTAGCTGATTTTCCTGTCTCAAGCAAGGCAGATGGAAACAGTGTCACAAAGTGGTTTTTAAAACCTCAGTGTGGGGCTTTTTGATGTTGTTGTTGTTGTTGCCACAAATTCTGTACCAGTTTCTGATGGCAAGTAAAAGCTTTTATCATTGGCAGAGTACTGGCATAGGTACTATGAAAGGCGGTGCATGCCCCATCCCTGGAACTGTTCGAGGCTAGGTTGGATGGGACTCTGAGGAACCTGATCTGGTGGAAGGTGTCTCTGGCATGGCTGGGGGTTGGAACTAAAGGACCTTTAAGGTCCTTTCCAAGCCAGACGGTTCTGTGGCTCTTATGACTCAGGGATGCAAGGAGGGCCATCAACAAAACCTCTACACTGGACTTCCAGAGGGCAGATTTTGGCCTATTCAGAAGACTGGTTCAGAGGGTACCCTGGGAAACAACCCTTGAAAACAAAAGGACCAGGAAGGAAGGACATGCTTCAAGAAGAAAGTCTTGAATGCACAGGAGCAGGTTGTCCCAATGTGCTAAAAGGCAAGGTGGTGGGGAAGATGGCCAGCTTGGCTGAACAGTAAGATTTTGAAGAAAATTGGGGGGAAAAAAAAGAGCTTTACAATTATGGAAAAAAGGTCTGGCTACTCAGAAAGAGTTTAGGAATGTAATTAGGTCATGTAGAAAGAAAATTAGAGAGACAAAGTTTGAACTTGATCTTGCCACTTCTGTTAAGGATAACAAAAAGTCTTTCTACAAAAAGTCTTTCTACAGTAACATTGATACCAAAAGGAGGGACAAGGAAAACCTCCATTCTTTACTGGACATGGTGGGGTCCACAGTTATCAAAGATGAGGAAAAGGCTGAGGTATTTAACACTTTCTTTACCTCAGTTTTCAACAGTAAGACAGGTTGTACTGAGGATAGCTGGCTTCTGGAGCTTATAGACAGAGATAAGAAGCTGAACAGGCCCCTGTCATCCAGGAGTAAACAGTTTGCAACTTGCTGAGCCACTTGCATCTTCACAAGTCTATGGGACCAGAGGGGATCCATCCCAGGGTGATGAGGGAGCTGGCAGAACAGCTTGCCAAGCCGCTCTCCATCATTTACCAACAGTCCTGGCTCCCTGGGGAGGTCTCAGATGATTGGAAGTTGGTGAATGTCACACCAATCTACTAAAAGGGCTGCAAGGAGGACCCAGGAAACTCCAGGGCTGTCAACCTGACCTCGGTGCCTGGCAAGGTTATGGAGCAGATCATCATCATCCTGAGTGCAATCCCACGGCACCTGCAGGATGGACAAGGGATCAGACCCAGCCAGCACAGGTTTAGGAGGGGCAGGTCCTGTCTGACCAACTTGATCTCCTTTTATGATCAGCTGACCCACCTCGCGGATGAGGGGAAGGCTGTGGATGTGTCTGTCTGGACTTCAGCAAAGCCTTTGACACTGTCTCCCATAATATACTCCTGGAAAAGCTGCAGCCCATGGCTTGGACAGGGGCACTCTGTGCTGGGTTAGGAACTGGCTGGAGGGCCCAGAGAGTGCTGGTGAACGGGGCTGCATCCAGCTGGGATCCAGTCACCAGTGGTGTCCCCCAGGGATCAGTGCTGGGCCCAGTCCTGTTTAACATCTTTATTGATGACTTAGATGAGGGGATTGATTAGCAAATCTGCAGATGACACTAAGCTGAGGGGGGGTGGGGGGGCAGAGTGTCAATCTGCTGGAAGGTAGGAGGGACCTGGATAGGGTGGTGAAAGAATCACCAGGGAAGTGATTCTTCCCCTGTACTCAGCACTGGTGAGGCCACACCTTGAGTATTGTGTTCAGCTCTGGGCCCTCAGTTCAGGATGGACATTGAGGTGCTGGAGCGGGTCCAGAGAAGAGCAACCAGGCTGGTGAAGGGACTTGAACACAAGTCCTGTGAGGAGACACTGAGGGAGCTGGGGTTGTTTAACGTGGAGAAGAGAAGGTTCAAGGGTGACCTCATCACTCTCTACAACTTCCTGAAAGGAGGTTATGTAGCCTGGTGGGCATTGGTCTCTTCTCCCAGGCAACCAGCAGTAGGACAAGAGGGCATGATCTTAAGGTCTGCCAGGGGACATTTAGGTTGGATATTAGGAAGAAATTCTTTACAGACAGGATAATCAGGCATTGGAATGGGCTGCCCAGGGAAGTGATGGATTCTTCATCCCTGGAGGTTTTTAAGATGAGACTGGATGTGGCACCTGGTGCCATAGTCTAGTAACTGTGGAGGTGCTGGATCAAGGGTTGGACTCGGTGATCTCAGAGATCTCTTCCAACGCAGATGACTCTATGATTCTATGACTCTACGTTACCCCTCTCCCCCCCTCCAGAGGCCACCACCGTGCCCAGATCATGGAACCAGCCCCTCTGTGACATCAGCCCCGGGGCTGAGGGCACTGCGGGCAACTCGAATGCTGCGGGCACCTTGTTGCAGCTCACGGGCTCTCAGTCCTTGCAGCTGATCTGTGTCGCTGGCAGCGATGATCTTGCTGCGCCTGCTCCTCCTGCTGGCCCTGTGCGGGGCCGCGCACGGCAAGTGCGGGTAAGTGGCCCCAGGCTCTGGGGGGGAGCCAGGACAAGCTTTAGGGGCTACCCTGAGGGTGCCCGCTTGTCCGCTGTGGCTACACCAGTGCTTCCCAAACCCCATGTGGGAGCCTCAGCTGACCTCGCCCGCCCTCGGACTGCCGGCACAGCTCATCTCCGGGGCTGAAGCAGACACAGGGGCAGAGGGACACAGGACCCACGGGGTCCCCTGGCCCTGCTGGCCGTGCAACCAGCGCCCTGTGGGGAGGGCAGCCTGCTGCCCTTCAGCCTGAGCAGCAGCCAGCCCTGGAGCAGAACAGTAATGACTTTCTGCTTACAGAGAGATCTGTGGGCTCTGGCCCATGCGCTCCGCCACGCGCATCGTGGGTGGCGTTGATGTCCAGCCAGGAGACGGAGCCTGGGCTGGGATAGTCAGCATTCGGGATATCTTGACAGAAAAGTGGACTAGGCACGTCTGTGGAGGGACCCTCATCAGGCCGAAGTGGGTCCTCACAGCTGCCCACTGCTTCGTGAACCGCACAAAGTAAGGAGAACTGGGGAACTGGGATATCCCCAACACCCCAGCCAGTGCTCTGTGCACAACACCTCGTGCTACTCCCATGCTGTTCCTTGCAGCATACCCAGTGCCTGGGCACTGAGAGCCCAGCTGAGAGACTGCTCAGGGAGAGGGCTACGCTTCTGCCTCTGCTTCCCAGCAGCCTCCAAATTGGCATTTCTGGAGCCTAAGCCATGCTAGTGCAGTCACTGCCCCTGTAGCTCTCCTTTCCTCTCTGCCTTGGGAAACAGAAGGCAGGGAACTGCTGGGCTGCCACAGCACATGGCTCTGCTTCTTCTCAGCCCTCTCTCCCTCTGCCTTGCAGTCCCTACAGCGAGTGGGCTGTGGTGGCTGGGGCCACCAGGATTGGTGAGATGGGTCCTTACGTGCAAGTGCGTCGGATCAAGAATGTGCACATTCACGAGCTCTACGATGGCTATATCCTTTATGACATCGCTGTGGTGGAATTGCAGCAGCCCATGGAGTGCACCCCCTCCATTCAGCTCGCTTGTCTGCCGGGTCCCACCGTCAGGGTGTCGCGTCAGCACTGCTACATCGCTGGCTGGGGTGACACCTATGCAAAAAGTGAGTTCCCCAAAAAGGACCTGTGCCCTGAGGGCAAGCTTGGTACACTGGGCAGAGGCCAAAACCAGGGTTGGGCTGTGGAAGGTTTGCCTCTGGAGGGATGGGATGAGCCTCCTCCCCAAAGCCAGACACCAGTGACACAGCACTCCAGTGCCCCTCCAGAGGCAGAGCCAAGCCCTAGGGAAGGGCTTCATCCCCAGACAGGGCAAGGGAATTGCCAAGGAGCTGCTGGGACCTCATTCCTCTCTCTGCTCACAGCTGTAGGTCCACAACCAGTTGTCCTGAAGCAGAGTGGGGTACTCCTCATTGATACCCAGCTTTGCAACAGCAGCGATTGGTATGGAGGGAGAATCCAAGACTACAATTTGTGTGGTGGTTACCCAGAGGGTGGCATGAGCACCTGCCAGGTGAGGAGCGTGCTAGCAGTCATTCAGCCCCCAGCAGTGTGGGCAGCACTGCCCAAACACAGTTCAGCGTGTGCTTTGCT